AAATCAATGGCTCGTTACTACTTAGGTGAACGTATGGGGTGTGAATGCCAGATCGAATGAAAGAACCCTATATGCCTTGCCTCTGAAGGCGAAACTCAATAACCTTCTGTGACTTTGAAGGAAGGATATGTGACAAACCAGTCCTCAGACTGTATTTGTGACACAATGGTGCTGATATTCATTGTTTTGAACTTCAGCATTTGATCAGAGTGATTTAGCCGTCTTTATGTAATGAAGGATAAAACCCTCCATCCTTCTTTGGAAAAATTAAGTAACAATATAAAAACCCTGACTCCATGTCTGGAGGAGGATCTATTCTATGACTTTCTTCCTCAGAAGGGAGTTTACTTCCTGTTCCATAACTAGAGCCTGCTTTAACTTTACTAAAAATGTAAACCACATTATTGCAACAAGTGGGATGTAAACCAAACTGCATTACATTGCTTCTTTTTAATGTAAGAATGACCCTACTGCGAAACGTTTGGCAGCCGCTCCCATTCTGCCAGAAAAATCCACAGGGGTACCAGTCCCTCAAGACTGGCCTCTATGCTCCCATAGATAGCTAACTCTGAGCACTGAAGTCAACTCACGACAGAAGGCCACCAAGTTAGCTGCTTTTGGACCCTCTGTAGATGGGGTGAGTCCACTAGCGCCACCACTTTTGGTATAAAACGTTGGTCGAAGACACCGGGGGTCTCCACGCCATGAGGCACAAGCGGTGGGAGGTTTGGCGGATGGATTCCCTGTGGGGCACGAGGAGGTGGCCTTTGCTCCTCACAGGGGCTGCCCGAAGAATTTTCTTATGCTTGAACTTCTTCTAGAAGTCTCCTGAGGGTGCTGCTTCCCAACCCAGCTGTTTTTGTGGGCTGAATGGATGAAACACACTATTCTGCCCAACAATTCTGAGCGGATAAATTGCCTCAGAAGAACGGTTTCTTAGGGAAGGAAACTCAAGTAGGAGCCCCACCCCCCTCTGCCCGCTCAACAGATTCTATAATGAGCCAGCGGGCGAAATGGGGATGTCAAAGAAGAGGGATTTGTCCTTTTTCTTAGTACCAGATGGATTTAGCACAGAGAGACAGGTCCTAAGCCAAAATCAGGTCTCGTTCGACAACGGCCCTTACCCTTCCCATAGGCGTCCATTGGACGGTCTATTTGGTATGATTGTATAATTGTATGCCAACAACTAACCAGTTGACTTACTGCCTCATACACTTCACCAGTCAGAGCCGATGTTATTATCTTTACAGGCTTTGATGGCAAAGCAGGGTCTTTGCAGATGATAATTTCCTTGATATGAAGCATTACTCTGCAACAGTGTAATCTAAACAAGCCATAGCTTAATACAAGGCTAATCATACAGGCTGTGTAAGACCTGCTCCAGGTTAATACTTCCCTGTGCAGGTCCTCATTAAAAATCAGACCCCTTACATTTATAATATTAATAATTATTATTATATATTTATTCATGTTCTTGTCCCTTTATTAATCCGGGGTCGCCACAGCGGAATGAACCGCCAACTTATCCAGCAAGTTTTTACGCAGCGGATGCCCTTCCAGCCGCAATCCATCTCTGGGAAACATTCACACTCACACTCAAACACTACGGACAATAGCCTACCCAATTCACCTGCAGCATGTCTTTGCCAGCGACCCAGCGACCTTCTTGCTGTGAGGCGACAGCACTACCTACTGTGCCACAGCCTCGCCAATAATAATAATTGTTATTATTATTATTGTTATGTTCTATATTATAATATATGTTATAATATTTTTGGGGGATTCATTTAAGCAACACAGGCTTAACCTCAGCCAGTTCATCATGACCTGGGGATAAATGGGGGAACAACAGAGGCGGAGCCACAATCCCACAATGCTAGTGGAAAGGCAGTCGTAGCAGGCATCCGACTCGTGCTGAAAGGACACCGATCTGGAGGACAAAGAGGAGAAGAAAACCCTTGAGTTTTGTCTCTTTAACCTTCAGATCGAGCTGTAATTCCCGCGAAATCATGCGCCACTCGGCCGCAGAGCGAGTGGAAATGAGCCGCGGAAAACGCTTCACAGCACTCGGCCAGGGCTTTTTAAAACGAGTACAAACACCCCTCTCGAGGACTGATTGTACATGCTCCTGGACAAAGGCACTGCGCACACACAAATCGTGCGTGTCCTGATCCGTGATAACACAAGGACACGGGGAAGCGCAGGATTTATATTTCTAATAGGCTATTAGAAATATAACTAACTAATAATGTTATATTTCTAATAGCCTATTATTTTTTATAGTGATGCAAAAAGAGAGCATGTGTTTGTAAGTCAGTTTAATGTTTTAATGTAGTGCCTTTTCAGTGCTTGTAAGTAGGAGGAAAAGACTCATGCATCTGAATGAAGAGAGAAAAAACTGAAGAAAATGGATTTTTGCTTCCGTGGTGATTTTTAAACCTCCCTGTTTGACGTCACACACACACACACAGTCCCACCAATTAAATTGGATTGATTTCACCTGTGCGGTGAAGTTATAAGAGAGGGATTGTATCCCATAGTATCTCCTAATAGAGATGCAGAGTACACAGCAGTTCTCTGCAGGGAAACTCCTGATTTGGCTTCAGTACTGACTAATCTAGTGTATATGCACAAATATAATTGTATAGCTTCCTATTAAAATATGAATTTAAAGATAAATTTGTGAGGAGTGCACTGTATATTGTTTTCTAGAGTGTTTACATGGTCATACAGCAAGTATTACAACAAGCATTTCGTTTTGGCTAGCTTTTGCAGCTGGACATTGCTTTACAATGACCTTGATGGGTGAGTAGGGGGTGTCTTTTGTCTCTCAAGGTGTGACTTATTCATGATCATTGTCACTCATGCATAGAGCCGAGATCACCAAAACAAACTTAACAAATTGCCGAAGAGTGGTTACTCAAAAGTCTTGTTCAGGCCCATTCAGTGTGCTTTTTGGACCTTATTCCAGCTACATTTTTTCCTCCAAAACCAACTAACCACACATAATTTGTGCTGAATACAAAAGAAAAACATGTTGGCCAGTACTATGTAATAAGTAGCTGTAATAAGCAAAATGTCAAGGGCATGTCAAAACATCTTATGCCTAGTTCACACTAAAGGATTTTAAGCCTGATTTAAGCCTGATTTGGAAGTTAACGAGCTCGCTGACAGATCGGGCTGTGATCGGGAAGAAATCTGCGGGTGCTCACCGCTCTTTATGTGTGAACTACTGAACAACGCATCAACGAGGCTCGCTGATGCGTCGCCAACACCTCGCAGACGGAAATCCAACATTTAGCATGCTAAATATTCCAGAGCAGTCGGCCGACTCAACCCCACGTGTGGTCAGATGTAGTGACGAGCTGCAGCCAATGAGAGAGCATTTCAGCATGAGCTGAATGCCCGTGTGTTCAGTAGCTCAGCAGAAACATCTGTGATTGGTCAGAATGGGCATCGATGCACTCGCTTTATTCTGCGTTAGCACAGACATGAGAGTAGGCTATATAACAGTGGAACTAGAATTCTGTAACTATTAGAATTACCATACTGCTCATTCTGACCATTCTCGTATAAAACGCCATATTGTCACAACATATTTACATTCAAAGCTATTATTGAGATATTAAAATTAAGCTTTGAATGTCTGGCATCATATTTAATGACACCATTACCCTAAAAATATCATCTTTTTTTGGTAATACAACCTATAAATATGTAGTTAAGATACTAAAACACTTAAAGGTCTTGGCTTTCATTTTCACTTTCAAACAGGAGCTACTTCACGGCACAGAATATGCTGTTTTGAAAGATATCTGAAGTAAACTGATGTTTTTGCGATCAGAAAGTTTTGTTTATGTTAGCAGGAAGTTGCTAGGCAAGAAAATGCACACATATTTAAAGTCACAGCGAAAAGTATCAGACATGCATGCAGTCTTTTGTCCAATATGGTAATTTATGGCAGAAATGCTCAGTTCTTTACTGTTTTGTAAAAAAACAGTAAAAAAAAATAACAATGTCAGAAAGAAATACACTGATAGTTAGAAAACGGCAGGGTGTTATAAATATGTTAGTTTTATTTCAAACAGTTATAAAATTACAAAAATTAAAAACTCTCTGTATCTATCCACTGGAACCTTGCAGATGAGTGATTAATCCACTGATAAATCAGCTAATTTGACGATGTTTTTAAATGCTTTCTCCAAAGCTTGAAACGCTGTCAGTGATGTCATCAGCACACAAGCAGCCAATAGTGTTCTGCTTTTTCTGACGACTCCTCCCTCAAAATTTTATTGGCTGTGGTTTGATGGCTTGAATGAGCTGATGGAGAATGAGTTGTTGTCAGATCATGTAGTGTGTGACCCACCTCTTGTGGATCATTTACAGAGTGTTGCGTAGTGTGAACACCACAGAGATTAAAAGACACAAAGTCAAGTCATGTAGTGTGAACGGCACAGCGATCTGCTGATGTTTAAAATCCTGTAGTGTGAACTAGGCTTTAGGGGCCCCAAAATCACCTCAGACCCCTGAGGATTAAGCACATTATATATGTGTGTATAAGTCAAGAATACAGCATTTGTTACATTTTGCTAAACTGTCTATTAATGTAGTGTTAATGTAGAGTTTACAAATGATTCATTAACTATTTGCTTAATAAGTGATTCATAGTGTGCAGTTATTATAGTGTTACCTTATTTTATTACATTTTTTTCGTGTCTTTCTGGAATTTTGTTCTGACATTTCTACACCCTCTTTTCAGATGTGTTTTTTAAAATCATTGCATATGTGTTTGTTATGCGAGTAATAATTATTTGTTTTCTTGTTCTGAACTGTTTGTTGTTCATATGTATATTTCTATTGTATTAATATATATATATATATATATATATATATATATATATATATATATATATATATATATATATATATATATATATATATATATATATATATTAATATATATATTATATATATAAATATATAATTTTTTTTTTTTTCAGCTTAAACCAGGAAGTTCCCATCTTTGTTTGCACCATGGCATTTCCTACCATTCCCTGTCCACTGCATGTGTTTGAGCCTCGATACAGGCTTATGATTCGCAGATCATTGGAAACAGGGACCAAACAGTTTGGCATGTGTATTGCTGATGAACTGAAAGGGTAAGAGGCCTTGAATCAAATTTAAGTTCATATAATATAAGCTTATCAAAATAAGCTTATATTAAAGTTCCACTCACTGATCAGTCTGGTGATGGCGAGCTTTAAGCATTTAAAGGCAAAAATTTCCAAAAAATAAAGCTTATAAAAAAAGTTTTCATACCTTACCGTTGCCTCGAACCAGGCCAAAGCACGCTTGTCCCCCCTCCCGTCTCCCCCGACGGCCCGCACTCACACCACAATCGGGCCTGGGCACGCTTACATCATCGATGCTGCGCTGTTCAGTGAGAAGCACTCTCACTCAGCAGCACAGTGGAGTTTTCTCTAGTTATATCGTTTTTTTGCTTTAAATCAAGCAAAAATTAAAGAACTTTGCCCTTCATTTTGTGTCAAGCATCTGGCTGGGAGATGCAATTTGACCTAATAATGATACTCGTCTTACCATAGGAAGTATCAGTGACTTCACTTTGGCCCGATTTGGCTCAAAAATTACCTAAGTGGTTGATCTAACTGTGCTTTGGGAGGACTGACTAACTGTCTCTTATTGATTAATGAAAGCAAAGTACCAAAACTTAATAGATGAAGCTTTTATTTAAGCATGGTAAGCAGCTCTGTTTCCCATTGAGGTAGGCTGCTGTGGATTTCCAGCTGCATCTCTTTGCTATTTTTTACAGAGCATTGGGCTGGATACTGGAGGGACAATAGCAGCAGCTGAGACTAGCTTTAGATGATTGTGGGCAATGAGAGATCATAAGTGGAACCCTTCTGTGGGTGAAGGCTGATCTAGCCCTGCCCCTTTTGTTTAAGCTTATAAGTTTAGAGTGGCAATGGAGGCAGTGAATAACCTTTGTTCTTGACATTGTTTTTTTCGAAAGACAAAGTTCTTGACACAATCAACATTTTCCTTCTAATCTACATGATCTCAGACACAGAGAGACAAACAGGGACTGCGGATTACAATATTTCCATCCCATGAAGTGGGCACAAAATGGAATATGCTGCTCCATACACATTTAGATTAAAATAATCATGTATATATTTAATATGCACTGTTTGAAATACTCCACTGTATGAAACTTTGCTTATTAGTGTTTATATATGAATGCTTAGTTAAATATCAACATTACACAGTGGGCAGCCATTGCTGCACTGCACAGGGAACAGTTGGAGTGTGCTTTGCCAAAGGGACTCACCTCAGCCTTGGTATTGAGGGTGGTGAGAGCTATGAGAACTCCCACCCCCCACAATCCCTGTCAGTCGTGGTAAACCTGCGACCTTAAAATCACAAGTCTAACTCTTTTATCATTAGATCCTGGGATGCACTTTAGATAACAGCTGTTTGATTTGTAATAGTTTTCAAAACTCGCCTACTTCTATTATGAAATTTGTGCAGATAGGCCCTGCCAACATGACCAGTTACCAGTTAAAAACAAAACATATGACACTGCTAGGACTTTCTTGGTGTGCAATAGACAAAACAATTAATACCCTACTATAACTTCCCAAGGAACACAGTTTTTTTTCTTTCGTCTCCCTTGAACAACATAATAATCAAAACCTGTGTGTGGATGTGTGTACATCATGATGCTAGACGAGTTGCACTAAAGGTGGTATGTAGTTATTCACAAACGTATTCTAGGCAAACTTGCATTTATTCCATAAACATATGTTAAGATACTGAGCTGTTCTGTTATGGTACTTGAAGTAATGTTGAAATCTTTAATGTGGATATAATTTTTTTTCTTTTCTTTTTTTTTTTAAATCCGTTTTGTGTATTGGTATAACTATACAAAATTCTAGGTTCAGTATGCATCTTGGTCTTACAAAGTCTTTGACAAGCCAAAATTCATCTGTGACAAGCACATCCACAATGGACAATGTCGACTCACTTAAATACAAGGAAATCTTAGGTTAAAATATTATATCAACAATAGTCAATAATCATTCTTATACACACTTTGTGCCACATGTAGATATTTGAACTAAATTAAAGTTGACAATGTTTATTACTAAGACTTATGTGAATTTTATATACATGATAATCAGATTTCAGTGTAATTATGTCATAAGTTGGAAAAAAAAATATTGTCATATGAATGGTAAGCTTGGACTATGACTTATTTTAAACGCAATAGTGTTTTTACCATAAAAAAAGATCTCAGTAACCAATCAGTAGTCTTTTGCTACCATCTAATGGCTAAGATAATGAAATGAAATGACTTTTGATTAACACTTCTAATGGTTTTAAACTTCAAACTCCTTTAAATTTAGCATATTTGTGTATAATATGTCACATGTGCTTGAATAACGCTGTGGTTACTAAAGTAGCCCCCGGGGAACGGAAATGCTATTAGTTTATTTATTCTACGTATGGGGATTTCGTTCAGAAAGCCAATTGTCTGAAAGAGTATGTAAATGGGCCAATGAAATGCTAAATGAATTGACAGCATAAGCTTGCGCACCAGATGCTTGTTTCAATCAATTTAGCATAAAAGCACAGCGAAAGCAAGATGAGGCAATCTTTTTAAGCTGAAGAGACTGATACCTACAGCTAAGGAACAATCATTATGGCAATGCAATATAACCTTTCCGTTCCTCTCCTCAGGGAACGGGGGTTACTTTAGTAACCAGAGCATTCTCCTTCAGATGGGGAACCTCAATGCTATTAGTGGATTTAATCCCCGTATGGGGAAATGTCTGGAAAACGCCATAATGACTGCACCTTACCTTCGCCTCCTATGAGAGGATAGCCAGGCATAGCGTGAGCACACCTGCATCATAGAGAGGTGCGGCCTTCCAACGTGATCCCTGGCCCTTACTTATTCCACTTCAGAGAAGATTTACAGATTTGGATATATTTATGGGAGCCGCAAGTTTCTAGATAATTTCTAGGAATTTAAATACGACAATACATTGGGAAAGCGTTCAGTCATGATAAGAAGGACGCTGTGGAGGCCACGTGCTATTTAATGGGGAGATATGATGGCAGAATATATGGACTAGCCCTGAGAAGTGGGAGTACGCATATGTAAAATGGTAATCGGAAAGGGAAGACAAGGTTACGCCTGTGAGGGGGAACTGCACCGTGGCTGAATAAGCATATGGGATCACCTAGTAAGGATCACGCTAAGCGGGCACCTATACCCAAAACGCGGGCTGACCAGAGGGCAGACCTACAACGTAATGGGCCAGCGAGTGATTCCCAAGTCAGTGCTGGGGGCCTCGGAGGAATCTGCAGGGCTCATCCAAGCCGGGAACTTTACTGACAGAGTGAATAAGCGCACATATCTCCGTGTTAGTGAGAATGGCGCAGCAAACGTGTTTCAACACCTTAACCAAGTTGTTTCCTCAATCGTCAAGGGTTACCTAATACCCTTGAGGAAATTGGCTCCACTCACAGATTGTAAAACCTTGTAAACGTATTAGGTGTCGCCCAGCCCGCAGCTCTACAGATATCTGTTAGAGGTGCACTCCTGGGAGACACAGCTCGCCCTGGCTCTGGAAAGTGAGGGAGATGGCATCCACTATCCAGTGGGCCAACCTTTGTTTCGTTACGGCACTTCCCTGCTGCCGACCACCATAACAGACGAAGAGCTGCTCAGATGATCTAAAGCTCTAAGTGCGGTCCAGATAAATCCCTAAGCACGAACTGGACCAAGTAATGAAAGGGCTGGGTCTGGGTCTCCTCCGGGGGCAGCGCTTGCAGGCTCACTACCTGGTCTTTAAACAGTTTGGTAGGAACCTTGGGCAAATATCCCGGGTGGGGTCTCAGGACAACATGAGAGTAATTCCAGGCACGAGTCCCTGACCGAAAATGCCTCCAGGTCCCTGACCCTTTTAATCGATGCCAACGCAACCAGCTGAGCTGTCTTCAGGGACAAAAATCTTAAAGATACTAAGTTGAGTCGTTTGAAGGGATCTGCACGCAGGCTTGTGAGAACAAGGGCGAAATCCCAAGAGGACATGAGAGAGGGGTGGGTGGATTAATTCGCCTAGCACCTCTGTGGAACCGGATGATGAGGTTTTGCCTTCCCATGGTGCCGCCAGCCACCGCGTCATGATGAACGGAGATGGCAGCCATGTAAACCTTGAGTGTGGAGGGCAACAGCCTGCTTTCCAGCTTCTCTTGGAGGAAAGAAAGCATGACGCTGATCTGGCAATTTTGGGGGTCTTCGCAGCGAGAGGCAGACCATTCAGTAAGTAGACTCCACTTCAGGGCGTAGGTGCGCCTTGTGGAGAGGGCTTTAGCCTGAGTGATAGTATTAACCACCGCAGTCAGTAGGTTACCTAAGTCTTCCTCGCGTCTAATGATCACAGGTGGAGGTTCCAAAGATCGGGGCGAGGGTGCTAGATGGTGCCCTGTCTCTGAGAGAATAGGACCTCTCTCAAAGGGATCTGCCAGGGGAGGGCCATCGCAAGGAGAGAGAGCTCTGACATCCAGGTCCGGTTGGGCCAGAGGGGCGCAACTAGCCAGACCTCCTCCTCGTCGTTCCTGATCTTGCACAGTAACTGCGCGAGCAGGCTCACTGGGGGATACGTATATTTGCGCATGCCCCGAGGCCAGCTGTGGGCCAGTGCATCCATGCCGAGAGAGCCCTCTGTCAGGAAAAAAAAAACTGTCCTAACCAGCACGTGCTGCTGCTTCAGCATCGGAAAAAAAAAACTGTGGAGAGCGAGGAACACTGCCAACAGCTCTAGGCGATTGATATGTCAATGCAACTGGGTTCCTTTTCACAGGCCCGCAGCTGCATGCCCGCAACACACAGCCCCCCAGCCCATGCTGGAAGCATCTGTTGAGACAACAACATGACTGGATGCCTGTCCTAGAGGCACTCTGGCCTGTAGGGATGAGGGGTCATTCAAAGAGCTGAAGGCGCGGCGACACAGCGCAGTAACAGTGACTCGGTTTGTGCCCGTGTGCCATGCGCGTCTAGGGATTGTGAAGCCAGTGCTGAAGAGGTCTCATATGGAGTAATTTGAGCAGTGTGACAGCGGCTGCGGAT